TCTGAGATATATTTTTTCAATTTTTCTTTTGATAAAAAATGACAAATAATTACTAAAATTTGGCCGAGTTCATCATTTGTTGCGTTTTATTTAAAATCAAAGAAAGTTTTTATTAATTCATTTATAGTCATAAGGTAAAACATTTCATTGGTGTTATTATTTTTTTACAAAACAAAATATCTCTAATATTTCAAAAGTTAAAAAAAATTCAGTAACACCACTAAAGTGATTATTTGAAAATATATATATATATATATATATATATATATATATATATATATATATATATATATATATATATATATATATATATATATATATATATTTATATATAGATAATCCTACAGTTAAGTAGGATTACCTATATATATAAAACCTGTAGAGGCATTTTAAACATAAAGAAATATTTATTGGCTTCAGTACATGCATGGACTAACTTATAGCCTGCTGCTGCTAGGGAGTGCTGCTACATCGACTGAGGATTTGGCATGGGGTAGCAATCTTTAAAAGTCTCCATTATTGAGAGCGCAATAAGCAAAAAAATAAATATTCTAAAACTGTTTAACTGTAGGATTACCATAGATTGCCTGCCTAAACCAAAACCCTCAGCTATTGTAGCAACACTCCTTGCATGTTTACCTATTTGTCAGTTGATGTAGCAGCACCTCTTGCATGTTTTACCTATTTGTTAGTTCATGTATATAAACAGTAAAAAAATTAAAAATAAAAACATTCAGAATGTTTTTATTTTTATTAAAAAAATAAAATCATTCTGATCTATTAAATTGGATTTTTGTGGTTTTTAAAAAAATGATAAAATTTAATTAGTGTTCTCAATTAAATTTAGTGCAATTTACATAAAGTGTACTTAATTTTGTTACTTTTAAACACAAATGGTCAGTTGAGTCAACAAAGTCCAATAAAAAGTTGAAAAAGAAAGTAGTATAATATTATTAACAAAAACTCATGTTACTGAATCGGTTAAAAAATTATCTATCAAAGCAGCTACAAAAATATACAACATTCTGGAAAACATTTTGCAAACAAAGTTATCTGGTGCAAACAACCCTTAACCTGGACAAGCACCTACTTTGCATAGAAGAGGTATGTGAGAAGCATACATAGAATAGGTATGTGAGAAGCATACATAGAAGAGGTATGTGAGAAGCATACATAGAAGAGGTATGTGAGAAGCAACCCTCAGAATTAGGGTTGGCATTCGGCAATTCCAACCTAACTGCCGACCTGAAAGTGTTTGAGGTCGGCAAAAAATTGCTGACCTCATTTTTATGTTTTATGGTCAGACCTTTGTATCAAACAAATATTGCCGACCTGATGCCGACCTTAAAAAGATTGAGATCGGCAATAATTTGCCGACCTCATTTTTCCTAATTCCAACGGTTGGAGAAGTATCTTATTGAAATAGCGAGAAGAGGATTTCCTTTGAGAAATATTTTCCAATTAATGATTTCAAAAATAATACATAAAACTTTTATCATACTGTATTTAAAAACGAAATCCCTTCTATAATAACTATTTTAGAGAGAGACATAGTAAAATTTTCATATAATCTTAAATGGAAGCAACAGATTATATCCTCTACCTGACAAACAAATTCAATCTTGAGACAAATACCAAAAAACTTTTGTCTATAACAATGTAAAGTTACTGCATAACCACATAAATTTGCTGTCCCAGTTTGGTCTTCAAATATAAAAGTATTTGTAATATAGAAAAAGAACAAAAACAAGCAACTAAAATATTTCCGTTGTACAATGTACAAACATTTCCTAAGAAGGTTTTAGTTTATAAAAACTTTTATTGATTTTTGATAAAGCTGTTAAAGTGTGCAGTTCACACTTGCTGGTGCTTCTACCAGCTATAACACTTATAAGTATTGTACAAACAAAATCCAAAATTAAAAAAGGAAAAAAAAAAATCAATGTTTAGGTTCTCTAGGTCTGAATTAAAAGCAAAGCCAATAATTAAGTTGCAAGTGCCAATAGTTGAGTCTTAATGTCAATAACTTGGAACAACAAATCAACCATATTCAAGTGGTAATATAAACTAAATTTTTTGTGATAATGCGGAATTAATTGCTTTAAGTGTGTTTTATAAACTATTTTTCCAATATAGTGTAAAGTTTATCAAGTAATATACAGAAGTTAGTATTAAAAATAGCGTTAAGGTGTAAGGTGCCAATAACTGTGATACTACCATATATATATATATATATATATATATATATATATATATATATATATATATATATATATATATATATATATATATATATATATATATATATATATATATATATATATATATATATATATATATATATATATATATATATATCAGGGCTCAATTTAACGGTTGGACATTGTCCGGCTAAAACCTCAAATTGTCTGATCAATTTACAAAGTAATCAGACATTTTAATTGAAGGGAATTAAATTCCATAAAATAAATATATATGAATCGCTAATTTGAAAAAGGGGACATGTTATGTAAATTTTCGCAGGACATGTCCCCTTTTTCAAGTTAGTGATTCATATATAAAATATAAAAGTAAAGTAAATTAAAATTAAATGAAAAGCTTTAAAATAAAATTAAAAAACTCTAAGTTAAAGTTACTTTTTTAATTGCGTTTGAAATAAATTAATTTAAAACTTATCTTTTGAAACGTTTTATTAAAGTTACGCAAAACGCTTTTATATATTATTTCTATTGATTGTTCAATAAATAAATTTTATTTAAATTATTGAAAAGTGAAATTAAATAATTGAAACGAAAAATATATAATATTTGTAAGTTGTTTAAACATTTTTTTCAAAAAGTTGCAAAAAAAAAAATTGTTTAAAACGACCCAAACAAGTTTTGATATATATATATATATATATATATATATATATATATATATATATATATATATATATATATATATATATATATATATATATATATATATATATATATATATATATATATATATATATATATATATATATATATATATATATCCTAGTATTTCGGTCCCATAAAATATGGGTCTTTACCAAACTTACCATTTTTATACTTATCTATTCCACACCGATCATTTTTATACCTATTAATTATTTACTTCAATATTTTTACGTAAAATAAGTCCTTTTGAAAAATTGCTTTAATTGCATTAACCTTAATTAGCTATTTTGACTTTTTGAGTTTTTATCTTCTTTGTTTTGTTCATTACTGAAATTTAGCATTGTGTAATTTTTGTAGAATTCCTAATCTAAAATATTTAATGGGGCATAATAAAATAGCTGTAAGTTTCCTCTATTATATCTGACTCTAAATTTCCTTATTATATCAATATTAAATAATTTTAACTTTTAATTATTTTTAAAATTTTTTTGCAAGCTGATGATTTGAACCATTGCATGGTTCAAATCATCAGCTTGCTTTGTTTTTTTTAATTTTTGTTATTTAAAATGCAAACAATACAACTTCATAGTTCTATAAATGTTGTATATTCATTTTCCTCAACTCACGCTATTGCTCTCACCCACATTCCCCTGCAGCGGTTTAAGGCAGTAATTAATGGCTCTCGCAAAATAATAATGAAAAATAAAAAGTCATTAAAAAAAAAAAAAATTGCATAATAAACTGCGATGCTTTTAAAAAGGCATGGTGCAAAATGCAAAATACAAAATGCAAAAAAAAAAATTTAAAAAGAGCACCAATTTAAATCCAAATGTTCAAGATTAAATTAGACTGATAAAAAATAAAATTATTACACTCTAAATTATATTGATAAAATATAAAAATGTTTAACTGATAAAAAATGATATAATCTAACTCTAGATTATTGCATAATAATTTTCATATTATGTAATGAATTATATATTTTATATATTTCTATTACAAAAATTATATCAAAGAACTCGAAAAAAGTCAAAGAAGAGCCACTAAATTGATACCAGAATTAAGACATCTGGGATATAATCAAAAGCTAAAAACATTAGATTTAATAAATTTAAAAGTTTGAACACTAAGAAGGGAGTCGACAATATAAGTTATATAAATGTTTTGAATCTATTGATATGAAAAAAGTCCAGATACAAATGCATTTAACACCAGGTCCAGTATCCATTATTAGAGGCTACAAACATCGTGTTAAATCAGAGTTTGTTAAAAATTGTTTAAGTAGAAAACACTTCTTTACAGCAGGCCTTTGTAAGATGCGTTTCCCTATTTGAACTTTACGTACATATTCACATTTTCACGTAGGCGTTTTGCAATTTACGTTACGCAAAAACCTTTTTCAATAAGTTTATTTTAAACAGTCTTTAAAAACAGATTAAGCGGAAAACATTAAACTGTAATTAATTGTTGTAAAAAAACGTTTTTGGAATAATTTTTTTATTAGATAAAAAAACAGATAGACATCCTTTTTTCTATTTTCCGTTTTTAAAAAAAAAAAATTTTAATTTATTTTATTAAATTTGAATTAATTTTATTATTATTCATAGTTTTAGTAATTTATTTGATTAAATTTAATTAAAATTATTTTAAAAATTTCAAAACGCTCTGTTTTACAATTTTTTTTTACTGATAAAATTTCCAAAATTCATCTTGAAATTAAAAAAAAATTTAATAAATTTAATTCAAGTAACTTTAAAATGTTCGCATTACATATAACTTCATTTTAATTTCAGTTAAGTTTCAGGTAAGTTCCAGTTCCAAATACTGGTCTGAATAATGCGCTTTTGTAGTTAATAAATGATTCTTTCAAACTTGAGTTTAAATGTGGGAGGCTGCATAAGCGCAAATCAGCATATATGCGAACTGGCATAAGTGCGAAACGTTGCAAAAACTGGCATAAGTGCGAACTGGCATATGTGCAAATTGGCATAAGTGCGCCAAAACATTTTGCAAACATTGAGATAAGTGGGAATTGGCATAAGTGCGAATTAGTTGCAAAAACTGTCACAAATGCAAACTGGCATAAGTGCGCCAAACAAATTTGCAAACAATGTCATAAGTGCAAACTGGCATAAGTGCGAATTGGCATAAGTGCGCCAAACAAATTTGCAAACATTGGCATAAGTACAAATTGTCATAAGTGCGAAGTGTCATAAGTGTGAAGCAGTTACAAAAACTGGCATAAGTGCGACCTGACATAACTGCGAATTGGCATAAGTGTGCTGAATAAAATTTCAAATATTGGTACAAGTGCAAATTAGTTTCGCACTTATGCCAATTTGCACTTATGCCAGTTCATACTTAAGCCAATGTTTGCAAATTTATTTGGCACATTGTTTGTGCCAAATAAATTTTTAGACAATTATTGTATTGGCTGTCATAGATATTGCCTGGTGCTTTATCTCAACAGCATTTGAATTATATTATATTATTTACTTTAATATATTATTCATTTTTATTGTGGAATTTTTAATTGTTGTAATAATTCTTAAAATTCGTGCATTCTATTACAATAAGAAAATATAAAACATTTTTTATAAGCAGTAAAAACTTTTATATATTTTTTTCAAATTTTTTATCAAATAAGTAATTTTGTTAATAAATATTATTTTTATCAAATAAGTAATATTGTTAATAAATAGCTAGTGTAAAAACCCAATGACAGTGTTTGCCTAAAGAATTTTTTCACTGCACTGTAAATGATCTTTATTATGTCGATATTCTTGTAACATTGAGGTTATAAACATATGCTTTGAACTAGTATTAAACCAAATTTTGTTTTTTTAATAAGCGATTTTTTTAATGAATAAACAGATAGCTCGTGCAAAAACCAAAAACTCTCATAAGAAGCTGTTTAGAGACAGCTTCTTATGACAGCTTGCCTGGCTTGCCATGTTCTTTTTAAGAGAACTTTTCTACGCTCTCGCGTTCATTTACTCCCGCCAAGGCCAGTTTATATCAAACCTTAACAGGAAACATGTGCGGTCGTACATCTTATATGACCACGCATATGATATTTTGTTTTGACAACTTGGCCACAGCTCCGTGCATGTTTTAAGTTGGTGTGTTTAAAAATGTGTTGAATAAACTAATGTAAACTTGAACTAAAATAAACAAAATTTATTTTAGTTTACATTAGTTTATTCAACACATTTTTCAAAATTTAAAATAATTTAATTTCTTCGAAATTTAATTATTTTAAAATTTGAAAGTTTGATATTTTCTAATGTCTACCAAGCAAATATAGTATTAAATAAAAATTTGTTAGTAGGATTTGAACCCTTGTCCAATGCTGATATAACAGTCGTACCTCTTGAATAACACAATCAACCTATGCACTACATCAGAGTGGTGATATAGGACAAATTATTAACTTTAAACTATTAATTGAAATGCTTTTAAAATAATTAAGTTTAAACAAAAATTTCAAAAAAAAGTTCTGCTGCATTTAACCTCATTTTTGTTCTACTGCATTTAACCTCATTTTTGTTCTGCTGCATTTAACCTCATTTTTGTTCTGTTGCATTTAACCTCATTTTTGTTCTGCTGCATTTAACCTCATTTTTGTTCTGTTGCATTTAACCTCATTTTTGTTCTACTTCATTTAACCTCATTTATAACAAATTTGTTTCAAGTAATAAAATAAACACTTCATTTTCTATGCATATACCTGAAATTATGTTTAATTAGCAAGAAAAATTAAATTAAAATTTGTCTGATAACTTGATGCCTTAAGTGTAGTTGAAGCAGATGCCTTAAGTGTAGTTGTAATGTTTTTTAATTGATCTAGGAAAAAACCTACTGGATCCTTTTACTTTTATAATGTCTTTTCTACTATTAAAAAAAATACTGGATCCTTTTACTTTTGTAATGTCTTTTCTACTATTAAAAAAAATACAATCTATATTTTGATTGCGTAAAGATTTTAAAGTTTTTAACATAATCACAACTTAAGCTTGAATTCTTACCATTTATTAGTGTTCAACAACAAATTAAGTATCTTCTTCAGAATTCAATCTAACATTAATCCAGTCTGCTGTAGTTAGAGCAGTCACTGCGAAGAAACTCCTTATCTATAAATATAAAAAACTTTCTTTTAGCATATCATTTTAAAAAGTCTTTTTGTTAATATTCAGCAACAAAATAATTCTAACTTATGTTATCTAATCTTCTACCTTATCTTATCTATCTTACCAACAAATTATCATCTACCTAATATATTCTCTTACGCTTTGTATTATGACAATTCTAACACCTTTTGTATTATAATTTGATTTTTTAGAAGACAAAGAATTCTGTGTTAAACATAATAAAGTTCATATATATATATATATATATATATATATATATATATATATATATATATTATATATATATATATATATATAATATATATATATATATATATATATATATATATATGTATGTATATATATATATATATATATATATATATATATATATATATATATATATATATATATATATATATATATATAGATTGGTGTATAACTTTAGAATATAAATGTATAATGTATTGATATATAATCAATTTAATATAATTTAAAAATAATATTAAAACAATAATAAATTTATTTTTTAATTTATATACTTGTAAAAATTGTTTTTATTTTTGTTTATTTGTTATTTTTTATTTAGTGTGGAAGTTTGTATAAATATTTATTAAAATTGAACTCAAATCACACATGCAATTTGCACATGATCCAGGTACAAATTTTATATAACTTTAAAGGATTTTTTTTTTCCATCTGTTTTCTGACTATTTTTTTTTTTATTATTAATAATATACTATTTCTTATTAAAAAAATTCAAGTAATATATGTATGTAGTATATGTAATATATATATATATATATATATATATATATATATATATATATTATATATATATATATATATATATATATATATATATATATATATATATATATATATATATATATGTAATAAATGTATATACAGGGTGTTAGCCAGCCTGATGGCACCACATATAATGTGGTATTCGCAATTGGTTTAAAATTCGCAAAGGTTCATAAGATCATAGTAAAAATAAATAAATAATAAATAAGTGTCGCGCTAGACAAGTAAAAAATACAATTAGTACGCACAACAAGGAAATCAATTATGTTGATCATTTTTTTTGTGTGTAAAAACGTTCATTCAGAAGTATTAAAGTCGTAAGTAAAAGCATTTAACCGCAATTGTAAACTAATAGATTTTTTGTTAAAGAAACAATTTGTTTAATAATTTTTTTTTTGTTTTTAAAAATTACTTAAAGAAAATAAAGTGTTTTAAGTTTAAACTTTTCATCATATTTAATTTTAAATATTAGATTTCATAAGTTTATAAACAATCAAGTTTAAAAAAAGAAATATTTTCAATTTATTTTATTAAATTAAATATTTTTTTAATAATTATAATTTTTAGTAAATAAATTTATTAAATTTAATTAAAATTCTTTCATTTAATTTTAAAACAGAGCATTTTAAAATTTTTTAGTTTTAAAATGCTCCGTTTTTTTAATGATAAAATTACCAAAGTAAAAAAAGATTTAATAAATTTAATTCAAGTTACTTTAAAATGTTCCTATTACATATAACTTTATTTTAATTTTAGTTAAGTTTCAGGTAAGTTCCAAATACTGGTCTGAATAATGCGCATTATTTTCCAGTTTTTATTTTTCCATTATTTTACAGTTTCATTCATTATTTACAGAAGCGCATTATTCATTTTTTAAATACAAGTTAATAAATGACGTCAATTTTTTTTTAAACTCGAGTTATAAATGTTATGTTTGGGTTTTCCCTTTGCCGTTTGCCGAAGAATTTTTTTTTATAAAACAAACCAAGGACGTATTAATAAACGTCCTTGAACAAACCAAAATTCAAACCTATTAAAAATAACGCAATCAGTAAATAAACTCTTTAAAAGCCCAACTTATCTTTATTTTATTTTAAAAATAAAACTAGTACTTGAGCTATAAATATAAGATACATAAATTTCAAAATTATAATGATATTCGTTAAAAACAAATTTTGCTTATAACATCTTAAAACTGAAAACACTATTTTTTTTTTGGCTTGAGTAAAAAAATATTAGGTTTCACTGTACATAAAAATAAAATATTTTAATGGAAATAAAAAAAAAAACAAAGCCGAAAAAGCAGTAAATTTCGTTTCTTTACAACATTTATTTTATCAAAACCAGTTAGTGCAAACGTTTTTTTAAAAGGGGAAAACCCAATCTATGCGTTTAGTTATAAGTACATTTAAATCCCTTTAAGAAAATCAACCATAAACAAGTGTTAAATTTAAATTATTTAAAAAAAAATAAAAAAAAAACAACCATAAAACGAATGTTTAAAAGCAAAAAAGTTAAGTTTAAATAAGTATAAGATTTTAATACAAGAAGACTTTTTTTAATCAACATTGAAATTTTTTTTTTTATAACAACATTGTTCAATTTAAAGCTATTTCGTTTCAAAGACTAACAATAGTTTTTAATGTCATTTTAAATTTAATTACGATGAAGTAAAAATGCAACTGACGTAAATTAACTTTTAACAATGTTAATATCTTTATTGAGTAAAGTTACATTTATTCACGTTTTGCTTTTCCGTTACGCAGCGAAATCTCGTAACAAGGCCTGTATTATCTATGTTATATTTGCGTAAAACATAAAAGAAGATAATTAAATAATACTAAAGTATTGATAACCATTATATTAATTATTAACCATTATTTATAAAAACAAGAATTAATTTTTTTTAATTTACAAATACAAAATTTACATAGATATTTAATGTATATTTGTGAACTAAATAAAAAAAAAGTAATTTTTGTATTTAAATACATTTTTTTAATTTAAATACCTAATTTACTAGATATTCATAGATGAATATCTAGAAATTCACTTAAAACTTCCTAGAAATTTCCTGATGTTTTTTGTTAATAATTTTGAAAAATATTATATAAAGTTTTAAATACGACAATGTTTGCATTTAAACAAATATGTTTTGTATAATTGAAATTTTCACGAGATCAATTTTCGTAACAATTTTTTTTCTTTTTTTTTTTTTTAATTCATTTAAATTATTTTTTTTGAATATTAGTAATTCCATTTTGTAAAAAGTTAAATAATCTAAATTGTGTTATAAAAGTTTCTAAAAATGAAGAGTATTATTTGGCTTATATAAGAAAGATAGATAAAGCTGGAGCAATAAGTTTATTCCTTAACTGAAAATTTAAATATGTAATTTCATCATAATTATATATTATTTGATTTTATGTTTAGGTATGATGTACAATATGTTCTAAAGACTTTTATTATGGAAAATAAGATAAAAAATCTTTACTTAGCCACTCAAAGTCTAAAATACATCGTCAAAATTGCGCAACAATTAAGTCAAACCAAGCTATACCGTCGTCATTTTTTACTAAATTAAAAAAACCTGATACATGTATATTGCCATATGGCACTCCAGAAAACGTGCATACTGGCATTACTTGCACAAATAGAGTGAATTCTACAGTTAAACCTATTGTAAGTTTTAGAGACCAAATATCAAATGCAGAAGCTATGACACATGCATTTATTTGTGAACACAATCTTCCAATATCTTTGACATCCCATATGATTGAGTACGCAAAGGAAATTTATAAAGATCACTGTGTTTTAAATAATTTAAAAATGTTCAGAACAACGGCATCGTATAAGCTGCGAGAAGGGTTAGGCGAAGCTTTTCATGCTGATCTTATTTATGATATGAAATCAAAAATGTTTTCTCTTAACATAGACGAGTGCTTCTCAGTAAAAAATGAGAAAGTTCTTAGTATACTCGTAGCATATTTTTGTGACAAAGTTAGTAAAGTTGTAATAAAACACTATGCATCATTATCTCTTGTTACGGTAAACGCTGAAAATGTTTTTAATGCTGTTATGCATTTATTTGACAAAGACACAATTCCATTAAGTAATCTAGTTTCTAATTTATCAGATTCTACCAATTTTATGAGAAGAAAAATAAGTGGGTTTGAAACAAGATTAAGAAAAGCGGTTCCTCACTTACTTGATATTGATGGTGATATTTGTCATAATGTGCACAATGTTGTCAAAAAGTTTACTTCTTTTTTCGGCAAAGTAGTTGAAAAGTTGCTGGATGATATCTCATTGATTTTAAGTTTAGCCCAGATCTTTGTACATTTCTAAAAAAACTTTGTTAAATCACAGGTGTCACATACAACACTCCAAAGCAAAGGGTTTCTCATCGGTGGTTGTCTGTTTTAGATTGCGCTCTACCTATGCTTGAGATGATGCCTGCTTTCATCTTAATCTATTCTACTTGGTTATCAAAACAGGACATCTCTCTGTATAAAAATGAAAGTGACAAAATATTAAACAGGCTATCAAATGAAAGTAAAAAACTAATAGAAAAAATGAAATGCAAAATGCAGCAGAAAAAGCTAACAAAACAAGGTGCAGAAAGAAAGGCTAGGATTGTTAAAAGTTTATTTTTGTTAAAAGTTTATTTTTCGACGTAATGAAATTTTACTTTATGTTAATTTATACGTAGAAATTCTTCCTATTTTTAAATCATTTATTTTAACTTTTGAACAAAAAGAACCGTTAGTCCATCGAATTTATGAAGAGCAAATCGAACTTGTGAAAACAATTTCAACTTGTTTTATTAAGCCAAAAATGATAAAAAAAATAACAGGAACAAAGTTAAAATTTTTAAATCTAAAAGATAAAAAAATGTATTGCTATTCGAATTACATATACCTTGGAAGTAATGCTGAAAAATATTTATCAAGAATAGTTATTCGAAATCCTGACTTTAAATCATCGTTTTTTAAGACCTTGCTAAAAGCCTACCGTGAATCATCAGTTTACTTACTTAATAAATTTCCTTTTAACAACCCTTTGTTAAAATGCTTCTCCGCAATCAACCCAATGTCTCAAGGTCACGAAAATACAGAGAGAATGTTGAAAAATCTCCCAATTTTCTTTCCCACTGTAGATATAAATAAAGTAGTATTTTATTGAGAAGTTATGCAACTTCAGATAGATACAGCGCTTCCACCCGTATTTGCTGATGGAAAGCCCGTACGTCTTGACTATTGGTGGGCAGATGTTTTTAAGTGTAAAAAATATTTAGAGCTAAGTAAAATTATCAAGGCATGTCTAAGTATATTCAATAGTCCTCATGTTGAGCAATCATTCAACATGATGAACACCATAGTTAACAAAAAGACAAATCGTCTTGATACTTCAAGGTACTCAGCTATAGCTTCAGTTAAGTATCAACTATTAGCAAACAAGACTACAGCACTTGGGTACTTTAAAAGACGAGATATATTACATGATCCAGTTAACAATAACATCTGTGGTCATTTGCAAACTGCAAGCAAACGCTATTTTAAAAAAATGGAGTTCTAACGGAAAAACAGAAAAGTTGAAGAACGTTTTTATAATATAAATTCAACGCGAAAAAAAAACACCGTTCGCATCGCATGAACTGTGCAAAATAGTTAAAGAATCGATTAATGATCATGCAAAAAAGTACCGAAAAAGAAAAGCTGATAAATGTTTTGCAGCAGAAAGTTATAAGTATAAAAAGTACTAATTTCTGAAACATTTTATGACATTTTATATTTAAAAAGTAAATAAGTTATCACGCTTTGTAGATTGTTTACGGTAAAATTGAGA